TCTTCAATTTTCTAATCTCTCAAGGAACCAATTACAGAAAAGAGGTACACTGAGTCAAAAGCCTTCTGGATATAGAAGAAATCCAGGATACTCGCTGCCTGTCTGAAATGATTGTTGTACCAGTTGGAAATAATCAGCCATGCTAAACCCACTTCTGAATGCTGCTTACTCCTTTGGCTGTGCAGCATCTGGTTTTTCTTGAAGTATGCTCGTCAGTAACTCATTGAAGGTCATGTGGTTGATTGATAACAAACTGATCATCTCCTAGTGCTTCAAACCTACTCTGCCCATTTGAAGAAACAAACGTTCAAATGTCCTCTTCGACGCGGCATTTTCTGATTCCACTGTATTACCTCTTCGTCATTCCTCGCTTCAATTGCTTAAGTGAATGTCGCACTTTTGGTAAGATAGCTGGAGTTTCGTAAACCTCATTTGCAACAGACTTCTGAGCCTCGAAAAGGGTGTTACTGCCTTGATCTTAAGAGTTAAGTATAGAAATCTCTTCAGATTCTCTTCTCTGTTTCTGATGAGAGCCCGATCTTCTGTTTTGAGAGCTGAAACTTATCGTTTCCCATTCATTATTCTTTGATTTAATTTCTTCACGCTTCAGCTGTTTAGAATAGTTTTTATCACAAATTTGTAGTCAAATATTCGAATGTTTTCTTTTATGCATATTTTAAAGTTTTGAAATCTCCCAATTATTCGATCACTGATTTCATGTTTGTTGCTGTCCTCATTTCTCGTCATCAGATTCGTAATATTTTGGTCGACCTTCATAATCCTTTTTAAGAAGATGTTATCCGCCGTTTCTGCAACTGCTCTCTTCATATCCAGATACTCAGACTACCTCAATGACCACTGCCTCCCATGTTTTTCTTCCATTCTGTGAAGGATATCAAATCGGTTGTTCAGCTTGAGTTGGAATAGCAGCACAAGGTTTTTCCGTAATATTTCTATATCGAGTTTCCTGCGTCTCACCCTCATCAATTTCTTTCTTTGTAAAGCTAAGTCCTGACTCACTTTGCATTCGACGAGCCTATGGTCGCTCCATTAATAAAACTGTTCAGCACCACGACGTCAAGTACTGTAGCATATGTTGATGAGAATCAAATTGATCTCATACTTGACATTGTTTGAGACTGTCCATGTCCATCGCTTGCCTGGTTATTCCTGGGAAAAGATGTTCAAAACAAATAACTTTAAACAAATAACTAAACACATAACAAACTAAAACAGGTCCGCTTTGCTGCTGTTTAACTTCAGCGTTTAAATCATCCATGATGAACTTTTAGTGTATCCTTCCATGCTCCTGCATTTCTTAGACATTTTCGTAAAAATCTTCAGTTCCTTCATCAGGAAATTTTGCATCACTTGGAGATCGTATCTTTTTGAACCTTTCAGCAATCTTGCACACTTCGCTGAGGTGCTGTTTGTTTGTACTAATTTCTTCCTTAATCGTTTGTGGATAATGAACCTACTTGCCACCATGTTTCCACTTGCTAATTTACTGTAGAAGTGGTGTCTACTTTTAAGGTCTAGCAGCTCCTCCTCGTTTC